ATCGTTGATATGTAATGTATTAATTATAAAATTTGAAAATACTTAAAATAGAAAAATAAGCGCTTGAAGTTAACAAAAAAAGAGTGTAAAATAGAAGAATAAATCTTCTGCTTTATTTTTTGCATTAAAAAAATACTTCCACTTTTTTCATTAATATTAAAATGTTTTCAGGCTTATCTATTATCATATCTTTTCTCTTTCTTCACTAATTACAATGATCAAAATCTTAGGCTTGAAATTAGAACAATTTTATTAGCTTACTTCTTGGCAATCCTTTTTTTTAATATTTTTAATTAAGGTAATCACAGATTTGGAATTAGAACGTTGCATTAATTCACGTATTGGCGTGTCAGGCACTGGAAAAGGTATTACAAGCGGTGAAGCGAAACGTTTATCATTTGCTACGGAAATTTTAACAAATCCATCATTGCTATTTGCTGATGAACCAACAACTGGCATTGATTCATTTATGGCATATCATATTGTTAAGGTTTTCAATAACAATAATATATTTTCCTCCTTTTATTTCTTTTCTTTTCAAACTTATTTTTTAGAAATTAATTAATAAATTTGAAATTAGCAAGGAAATAAACGCACACACACATACACACACATCAAAAAAGCGAAAAGCATTTTTGAATTTTAAGTTTTTCCTTTTTATTTATATGAGTAATATTAATTAATTTAAGGTTCTTGAACGAATGGCATCCGAAAATGGTAAAACAATTATTTGTACAATTCATCAGCCAGCATCTGATACATTTGAAATGTTTGATCGAGTAGTTTTCCTTGCTAATGGAAAAATCGCCTTTCTTGGTTAAAATTTTAAATTACAGAAATTTTTGCTCAAATATTTGAAATAGCAGATATAAAATTCTACATGTTTTAGTTTCCTTTTTTTAGTTAAAATTCAAAATTTTCACAAATTCTTGATTAAGTATTTTTAACCAAGAATTAAAATATACTAAAGTTGTATCTAAATAATAGATACAATTTTAGTATATTTTAATAATTTTAGATTCATTTATTCGTAAGTTCATCTTATGATGATTGATCTTTTTAGGTTCACCCTCGGAAGCTTTACGATTTTATGCTGATGTTGGATATTCTATTCCGGCCCACACTAATCCGGCTGATTTTTTCATTCAGACATTAGCTATTGTTCCGGGCGATGAAGAAAAATGTATTGAACGTGCCAATCAAATTATTAATGCGGTATTAAAATTTTCGATTATAAAAAATATTAAAATGTTATTATGATGAATTTTCAAATGTCATATCGCATCAATGTAATTTTGATATGGTAATGATGAAGTAGAAATTGATAAGCTTTAGTGAAAGCCGCTTGATACTAAAAATAGCTTTACAATCTTAACACCAATTTGTTTTTTTTTTTCAAATTCCCTCCTATTTCAGTTTCAAATGAATAAAATAGAGAATTAAAGATGTTTATTTCAGTTTATGAAATCTAAATATGAAGTAAGAATGCGTGAATATTTGGAACTTGGCAACAAGCATTTTCAAGCGCAACTCACCGAACGTGCCAAAGCATCCATTCCAATTCTCATTTATGCCTTATTTATAAGGTATGTGTTTAAAAATTTTTCATCATTTAAGGAGAGAAGAAGCGTAAATTGAAAAATATGCATTATTTGAGAGCAATTCGATTTTGAAACACCAAAGAACTTAAAATAATTGAATTAAATTCATAGTGTTTTGATAAATTTTTAATCTAATGGTTCATTGCGGAATTTTCCTTCAGCAGTAATTATTTTGATTAAGTGAAAAAATTTAGACTTTAAAAATATCAATGTTTTTGAAAATAACAATGTATGAGCTTTATTCGATTGTGAAATTCATCATAATTGTAGGCTGCTTGATCTTAAACAAACAAATAGTTTGATGATTTTAATACAAATTTGTTTTTCTTTTCAAATTTTTCCCTCTGTATCGTACGCATTTTTATTTGAATCTATCAAAGTTTTATTTTAAAAAAAAAGCGAACTACGTGAAAAGGTAAGTACGAAATAATATGAAAAGACATACATTTAAAGGAATAGCAAATTTAGATTCTTTCTTTTTCAGATCATTCAAGCAAAACCTAAGAAATCCAACATTTTTATGGGCAAAACTTGTTCAGAAAATTGTAATGGGCTTATTTTTGGGTACATTATATCTACGAACTGAAATGAATCAAGTTAGTTTATTCTAGAAAAGAAATTTTTTATTTAATTTTCAAAAAAAAAAACCACGAAAGTTTTATTTAGATCTATCAAAGAAAAAGAAAAGGTTCAATTTTTATTCATAACATTTAATTTAAAATTATATTTTTACAGGATGGTGTTATTAATATTAGAGGAGCTTTATTCTATTATATCTCCGAGTTAACATATTCAACCATATTCGGCATTCAAACATTCTTACCGGCTGACTTTCCGTTACTGGTGCGAGAATATCACGATGGCATATATCCTGTCATATGTTATTACTTATCAACGGTTCCTAAATTGTTATATTTTTTCTTATCCTATCACTTCTGATTCTGTTATCATTTCTAAAGCACTTTGATATTTTCTGTTATCACTTTCCGAGATAGGAATTATCACTTTCATATTTTCTATTGTCATCCCCGAGATAAGAGTTATCACCTTGATATTTTCTTTTATCACTTTCAAGATGGAAATGAATTACCTTTATCATTGTCACATCTATCTTTGCCAATTTATTTTTTGTCGATTTTTCTCTCAAAAGCATAGTTAATTGCAAAATTCAAGCATTTTTTTTTTAAAGCCGTAGATAAGATTGAATTTACCAGAAGTTTCATGAAATTTACCGAAAATAATATTACTGTGATCAGTGAGGATTGAATTTATTCCTAATAATTCGGTATCTGTTCAGTATTCCGGATTCAACAAAATTATTCTAAATCACCCTCTCTCTCTCTCTCTCTCTCTCTCTCTCTCTCTCTCTCTCTCTCTCTCTCCTTCTCTTTTCCCTTCTCTTTTATTCCAATAGATAGAGTAAAATATATGAATGGAATATTTGATAGATAATGTCATACTTACCAATTTTTACGATCGATGGTATATGTATGATATGCATCAGCTATTATCTAATCGGTCTTTATCCAACATTTACAACATTTCTGACCACTTTGCTCATTTGCATACTGATTGAATGGTCAGCTCTTAGTGTTGGCATTATGTTAGGTTCGGTAAGTAAATTATCATTGAATTAAAATTTTTAGTTTTTTTTTTTTATATTTGTTTAAATTATTTTTAGCATCATTCATTACAATTCGATCAAATATTATCGTTGCTGCTATTATTATTAATTAATTGCTATCATTACTGTCATGGTTATTATTATTATTATTAATTATATCATTATTGTTAATTGTTAAAATTTATAGGTTTCTCCGTCATATCCAATAGCTATATCGATAACAGGGCCATTATTAACTCTCCTTTCGATAACCGGTGGTCTTTATAGCAATGTAAGAACGATTCATGAATCAGTACGATGGGTTCAGTATTTCAGTTGGTAATTTTGAATTGAAATTATTTCAATTATTACAGAAATCTAACAGACATGAACCATTTGTTCTTGTCAGGAATTCCACATACGAATTCCGTTTTATATATTGTCATCAGTGTAAACTGAGATATTGGACTGATTGATCGAATAATTCGATTATTGTCTTGTTTATTTTTTCTCAATTTTTTCCAAAAAAATTAATTTGGTCAAATTAGTTGTTTTCGTTTTTAGGTTTCGTTTTGGTTATGAATCATTAATAATAAACGAATTTTTTCACTATGACAATATTAGCTGCTTATTGTCAAATGGACAGGTAAAGTTATTGGTTTGAAATTTATTCATATTTCTAATAGGGAGTGAAAGGAAATCTAACTTAGCAATTAATTTGAAACATGGATTAGGTTAAGGAAAAATTTCAAATTGAGAGATTAAAAATTTCAAAAAAAAAAAGGGAGAATGAGAGTTTCAATTAAGAAAAATTTATTATTAGAATATCAAGTGGAATAAATAAATGAGAACGATTAAGCATTGAAATTGAAATTTATAGTGAAAATAATACTTGACTCTTTCTTGACTTTGCAAATTATTTGACGAATTTTTTGAACTCTACTTTTACTCTCTTTTCCTTTTGTTTTATTTTCTTTCATTATCTATTTCATTTTTATTTTATGATTGATCTAATTAAGCAATAAATCATCATAAAACTTGCAAACAAATTGAAGAATTAAAAATTTTTCAGCCAGCAGCAATTTGTGAAGATAGCGGAAAATCGGTAATTAATAATTTGAATTTTGATATAAATAATATACATATAAATATGGGTGTTATGCTATTCTACGTTTTATGTGTTTTTATTATCGGTTATATCGGTCTCGTGTTACGTGTACAGCTTGCTCGTTAATTATGCAAAAAGCTTCCATGATGAAAAAAAAAAAGGATGATGAAAATATTTCACATTAAACTTTTAATGCTAGTTCGTTAATTATAACTGGAAGAAATAATTTCATGTTAAACAGTTTTTCACATTTTATTAATATTTCGAGAAATTTTCATCGATTTTTTTTTCTTTCTTTTTTCCTTAAACTTAAGCCAATTTTCATTTCATAAAATAAACGAATTATTTGCATAAAAATTCGGCACAATAATAAGGAATACTATTGTAGATATTGAATAATAAATAG